GCACCGGTTTGAAACAGTTTGATGTTGCACAGGAGAAAATGAAGTTCCGGCAAAAATATGGATTCCAGCCACCAAAGACAGGTCGGAAAACGGACGTCGATGCGGAACCAGAACTTCCGTTCCTGCAAGGTGTCATCCAGAGTGTAACCAACGCCTTTGAACCATCTGTCCCTTCCACGACAATCGTCAATGATGGTTTCATCTACTTCATGCTGGCATGCTGGTGAGCTCACAGCTTGCCTTCCGCTGTTTTCGAATTTTTCAATCGCATACACGTTGGCTGGGATGTTACCTGCTGGTCTACTGATCAACGCTGGAGTCGCATGCATGGATGTCTTTTGGCTATGCGTGACACTTCACATCCTATTTGCAGTACATGTATGGCAGTATCCTGTTTATGACGTGGGAAGGAGTCCCGTAAATGTTTCCTCTAGCTCAAACAACGCCATTCATCGTGTTTCCAGGGAACTGCTCCCATTGTCTATGTTTCCTGTTCTCCAGAATGCAGATGAGCATGCTTCAATTGCAGGAATTCATTTCTGTTTCGTGCTTTGTCACACCCGTCTACAATTGTCTACAATCGCTCAGCTTCGCTAATGCCAAAAATTCCGCTTGCTACTGATGGTCAGTGCGTGTAGAGGTATTGTGGCTGCAAGATGCTGCGCCTGAATGTCTACAAATCGCAGTTCTGTCAACGCCAAATCGTTTGCTTGCTAGTGATGTTGGTACACGTGGAGGTTGAACAGCTTTATGATGCACATGGGCTAACTGGGGTTGGCAACCATTCGCCCTGCTGCCCATTCAGGGCTGCCGGGACACAGCACGCTGCTGGGGACCCAACTGCACCTTTCGTGGTTTCCCTGGGATTCTGTGTTTGGCGCGTATTCGACAAGAGGCAGAAGCGGAACCCTGACGGACCCTACTATGGGAACAGCCCCATCTGGGGAGCGCTGGGAACTGCCCTACTTGGGTTTGTGTTTGCCCTCGTGGTAAGTGGGTGTGCCAAAACTGCTGTAGTCAGCTGCCAGTGGTAGCCATTTGAAGGCGCTCGCTGTTTTGTGCACAGGTACGTTTCTTGTTGTTGGTGCCGTTGCAGCCGCTGGGTCCAATGGCCACTAGAACTGCCGCGTATCTTGGAGCTTGAGCGTGGTGCATGAGATGTCACTGATTGCATTCCGCGCTGTGCATGCACAATGCCAGGCGCACTTCAGATTCCGTCGCGTCATCTCAGAGAAAATGCAAATGGCGCCCATGAATTGACGCGAACTGTTGTGATATTTTCAGGTGACTAATTTATTGGTTCCAAGAATTCCACTTCCAGCCAAATTCGCTACGGACGCTGTGGGCGCGTTTCTGGCGACAGTTCTAGTGGGATGCACTTCCATATTCGTCAAGTGACCTCAGGGAGGTGCACTGCAGGGGGTTTGCATATCATAAGGACGTCGATCAAAGATGAATCGACGGTGACTGGGATTACGGCATGGCGGAGTGTAGTTTTGACTTCACATTGTTATTTGGGCCTCATGGACACGCACAAGACTGGCAGAGTAACCCAGAGCTATGGAATCGGGGTGAACCTCAGTGGCTGCTGACTTCGCGTTGCCAACGTGTGATTGCACGCCTGTTGCGTTCCTGCTTGCCGGCAGGATGGCGGCACCGTGCCCATCTCTTCCACACAAAAGAACGTCATAAGCATTCAGACACAAAATCGGGACTGGATGTGCCCATCGCGGCTCATATGATTGTGTCTGGAGTTCGCTTTGTGACGGAGGCCTAGCAAAACTGGGTGAGGCTTCCCAAGCCACCATGCTCATCAGCGGTAGCGCAGATCACGGAGGATAGTGCAGGCGGTGCTGAATAGCGTGGGGGCCCTTAGATAACGCCCCCCGTGTTGTCGGATATGGCAACTGCTGCACAGCGCTGGGGTTATGTTAGATAGCGCAGGGGGGCACGCAGCTCCCATGATGGGACGCTGTCGTTCACTACCGAAAGATGCAGCGATGCAATTCAGGAAATTGCAAAACTGTTATGGTGACGTCTCCCGCTTTAAATTGTGATTGGCGAGCAAATACAGACTGATATTCAATTTGCTAAATTGGCCCTGCGGTCAGTGTGGCAGCTTGGGGGCGTTGCTGATTCACCGACTTGATGCAGAACGCGGAGGGCATGCGCAAGGTAGTGCTCCCCCGCGTTCATGACGCCAGCCCTGATGCTCAACGCGGTGTGGTCCGCTATCCTCCGTGATCTACAGTACTTCATATGATTATGTCCTCAGCCGTGGCCCAGCGCACCAGCCAAAACTGAATTCCAGCGGCTGCAGCCAACCGCCCTATACATACCCAACTTGAAAGCCAAGCAAGCTTTTTGTGCAGGTGTTTCACCAATTGCGACACCCAAAACAGCCAAAGTGCTGAAGAGGACTCTTTGCACATCATTGAGATACACCTTTCGTCCAGCACAACTCGTCACAGGGAGGTCCCCCGCTGGCAGTATGCCAGCCGTCCCCTGCTCCTGGTTGCGGCGAAGCGGCAGTGGTCACAAGGTGGTGAGCTCCTTTTCCTTGTCCTTCACTGCATCGCCCACCTTCTTCACATACTTGTCTGTCAACTTCTGCACCTCGTCCTCTAGGTATCGCTCGTCATCTTCTGGCAGGTCCAGTTTCTCCATGGATTTGATGGCATCTCTCCTGATGTTCCGCAGGGCCACTTTCCCCTCCTCGCCCATCTTGCTCACCACCTGAATGTGAGAGGCAGCATTTCACAGGTTGTGCAGCCGACCAGGGCCTCAGAACCAAACAGAACATTTGGGACACGACACACGGGTCCCCTAACGTACACTTGGTGTGAGTTGCTCCTGTGCGTGACATGGTTGTCTTTCGTGAATCAGAACATGGGGCAAACACAGCAGTAAGCCCTGGTCATCCATAGATTGTGGGCGCAGCACATGGCAGATGCTTCCACGGCTTCCTCAACGAGTGACAAATACGCCATGCCTGTAAGGCGCCAGGGTTTGTCATGCTCCTGCTATTCCTTCTCTGCTTTCCATGGTGCTTCGTAGCAACGAGGAATGCTGCGCCCACTTTAATGATCAAAACGTTGGCCGCACTTTGGGTAAGAGGTTCCAGGTTGCAGACTATTTTGGAGACACACCAGCACAAAACCGAGACACAATGCAATATAGTGCTGAACCCCAATGTACTCTCTTGATGATCGCAGCGCCAGCAAACAAGACGCACTCTCAATAGCAAGCAAGCCCAGTCAAGAGGCAAGGCATGAACATGAAAGGGCAACGAGTCTACCACAGCTACTGCAAGGGACCACCTATGTGCTGAGCCTTTGCCCACAATGAACACATCCTCTCGCTTCCAAGCTGTTGAATAAATAGTTCGCTCCTTGCTAACGGTGCCTGTGGGGCAAACACAAGCCATCGAAGCTGGAACATCCCTCTCCAAAGGGTCTGACAATGAATACATCCTGTCGCTTCCAAGCTGCTAAAGAAATAGTTAGGTCTTTGCTAATGGCACCTGTGGGGGAACACAAGCCATCGAAGCTGGAACATCCCTCTCCACTGACAGCAACCAAACGGCGTGAATGAGATGGGGCCAAATGGGACACGAATGCGCGCCCTGCAGCGCCCATACGCTCCCAACATCGCCCAGACCCCACCTTCACCATCTCCTTCCGGCGCTCCTCCGTCAGCTGTGGTATGTTGAGCCGTATGCGCTCCCCATCGTTGTTGGGCGTCAGGCCCAGGTCCGACGTCTGCAGCGCACGCTCGATGCCCTCCAGGGCGCCCTTGTCGTAGGGACTGATCACCAGCGTGCTGGCGTCCGGCGTGGACACGCCTGCCAGCGACTTGAGCGGCGTGGGCGCCCCGTAATAGTCCACCTCTACCCTGTCAAGCATCGCCGGCGTGGCCCGCCCCGCCCGCAGGGTCATCAAGTCGTTCACCACAGACGCCAGCGTCTTCTGCATCCTGTCCTCCGCCTCCATCTCCACCTCCATCGCGTCCTCTTCGCTTCCCCATACCACGCACAGCCGACGCGCCGCCCCCCCGTGCCGAATGCCAACCAAAAATCTTCCCACGGAGATGGTCGATCGACTTGTGGGCGCATCCCTGGCGATGCGCAGGTTGGTGGCTCCGAGATGCGATGGGTAGGATGTCGAGGCCTCCGGGGCTTTGGCCGGCGGCCGCGCTCGCGGGGCGTCCCCCGCGCGGGGCCCGCGGGCCAAGGCGGTGGCGCCTGCGCACACGCTGGCCATCTTGCGCAACCTGGAACGACAGCCTGGGTCGCTGGGCCCCAATTGACGTTCGTTGACTCGGCACCGGATACAGACAGGATGCACACAGGATATACTACAGTACACAGTACACTGTGCACAGGAGCACACAGGATCGGACACAGGGTACGCACAAATGGCATGAAATTAGGCGCTCTGTCTTTTCCGTGAAGATCCTTCTTCTTCCGCTGACAAGGCCAACGCCGGTCAGTGAGTCAGTGATTATAGGGATGAGGGTGTACGAAACAAGAAGGGATCTTCACGGAACAGAGCGACTAATTGGTTGCCCGCTGACCCACGCTGTCCTTGTGAGCGGAATGATACAGTCCTGTTATTAGTGAATTACAGGGCCTGCAGGATCAGTGCCGGGTTTGAGAGCATGCCCATCGCCCAGGAAACAGATCTTGACGAAGACGATTGTGCGGACTAATATGTTCTCGCACAGGGCAGGAATGACGGGCGCGGTTTGGGGGCGATCTGGTGGTGGGCGCTGCGTCTCTGCCGGACTACGACCGGCGCGGGCAGGGGCGCGATCTCCGCCGTCCCGAGGTCCAGCGCCGACTGCCCCGGAGCTGTGTCACGGGGCCGCCTGCCTGGGACGATCAAGTGGCATAGATGTGTATGCAGAGCGCTGGAACAGGGCGGCCCCCTGGGCGGCTGTGGCGCGCCAAGGCCGACTCTGATGCTTGAGTGCCTGGACTGAATTGGAATTGTGGTAAACGTCCATTGCTGGATCCCCGATTTATTGGGGCGAACTGGCGGCGGCCATCAGCGTGGGTCGTTCTGGAGGCCGCTGGGCGCGTGGTGGTGTTGTGATCTTGGGCGCCTGTGGTGCCTGCCGCGAAGTTGACCTTGCGCTGCGGACGTGTGGCTGCCGGATGCGACGCCGGCGGGAGCTGCAGTGGCCGGGTAAGACATCGAAGGATATTCCATGCGGGAGGTGCCCAAATATCAATGCGCGGCGGAGCAGAAGCTTCCGGTTCTGGACGCGGCTCGATAGCAGTTGCACACGCAGAGCTATGCGACGGGCGAACACTGTTTCGAGAGCATATATGGCTCGCCAGTACTGGAAGAGGACTTTGCAATGTCTACATTTGCCGGAACTTGACAAATGGGTCTGCCCTTCTCATCCTGCAGGTCATGAGACGCCTTTAAGGCTTCTGCACCGTCAGATATTGTCAACCCGTTTGCGCTTGGTGTCTGATTGCCAGTCGAGATTGCAGCCCAACAGCAGATAATGTGTGCAGCGCACTCAGGATATGGCAACGAGCTCCTGTTCACAGCCGCAGCGCCTGCAAATATGGACTGTGATGATTGGCTTTTTAGGCAATTGGAAATGAAGGATAATTATGCAAACCACTATTTGTTTTTTGCCCTTGTCTGTGCGTTTATGCATAATGCGATAATGATTATTAGAGTGGGCTGCACTGTGGAATTTGCTTGCTGCCCCGTGATGCCTCTTATACGCTTTTCTGAGTTCTTGGTTGACTCGTTCAACCAGTATGCAACGCAGACAAGATATCAACCTGAGGGCCTTCAAAGCAAAGTATCTGCCAATGCAATCACGCAGGCTTCTTTGGCGTTGCTGTAGGGTGTGGGCTGGTACAAATGCAGTAGCTCGATGTAGGTCAACAATGTTTGCAGAAGCTGGGTGGCATTGGTCTGCTATGTTTTGTGAGTAGTGAGACCCGTGGGTATGTGGAGCTTGTGGTGTCAGTGGAGTGGCGTGGCCTGCCAGGGCTCCATAACATTAGACCTGGGAAGAGCAAAATGTTTTCGCTGGGCTTGTCACACCCACAAGGCACATGCTGTGGGTTCAACTAGGTGAAGGTTACTGTGTGGCAATACCAATCAACACGGGCGTCTCATGGTGCAGATTGTGAGCACGCACCCAAGAGTGAATGCAGATTTGGACACAATTGTCGCCCTTGGCGTCCTTAATGTGGGGTTCAGGGCGCTGGGGAAGTCGTGCATCCTTGTTGTTACTGCGTTGGGCATCGAAACAATTCAGTCTCCTTTGGCCTGAGGTGAAAGATGGCAACAGATACACATTCTGAAACCGTGCTCGAGCGACTTGGTGCCCCATTCAGTGCCTGGTGCATTACGAATGCAACATGTCACCCAATGTGCCAGGCAGAATCTGCCCAGGCAGAATATAGTCCGCCCATTCTGGCATGGAAGAAAAAACGCCGAATGTGCCTAGGCGCGTAGGCGCTCTGGCGTCTGTCGGAGCTGATTATCGATACGCACCGACAATTCCTGGGCGTCATCGTCCGAGGTCAAGGGACACATTGACGTGACCCGTCGCGATGGCACATCGGGGGCTGCGAGCGCCTACCTTCGGAACTGCTTCCCATCGAAGCATGATGCCCAGCATCGGCGGCTCCAGCTTCCACTTCCCGGGTGCCCATTCTCGCCCACCAGCGCCAGGCGTTGCGCGCCACGCACGGCAGAGGGCTCGCGAGCTTTCTTGGTATTACGCGGGTGTGTGGGCTTGCCCACGTGCCGACGTTTCTCAAAATGGCCATTGGCGCAGGGGATGGAGTCATGCGACACTTGGGGCACAGAAGGCCTTTCGGTTTGCTTGCCGCCTGCCTTGGTTGCTTCACAGCACATAAGTCAGCAGCTACAACGGAGAGAGTTCTAGAACGGCGCGCACGGGGCCATTGTCAAGTTTGTATTGGATTCGTGCGTCGCCAACACTACCTGAAGCGGCATGTGGCCACAGCACGGCCTGCCTATGCGCCGACGTTAATCGGACACAGAACGCTCTTCTGTGGCCCCAGCCGCTCGCAGCGCCCCCCAGTCTAACTGGACGTAGTCCTATCGGTAATGACATAGCCCTATCTACCTGGATGCACTTTATCTCTGCTGAGGCAGGTATGATGCCAACTGGGTGCTGTTTTGCCCAACACAGGTTGCAGATCAAGGGACTGTTTTCGAAAGGACGGCCTGCTGGGGTTTACAGGTGCTCTGTGCTGAGGTGCTCCGCGTGAGCTACCCACACACGCCAGTTTTGTTGACGGAAAGTCAACACGCCACAAGCCACGATGCAGGTGTGCATTGTGTTTGGTGATACTCTTTGGAAGCAGGGCAAACGTGCAAAAGGACTGAATCAGCAGGAAGTGGTAAGGCTTGCCTGCCGAGTCAGGAGATCTCATCAGTTTTAGGAAGCTGCATGTTTCAACCACAACATGCAAGCACTGTGATACAACACTGCACCTTGCACCTGTGAGGCGATGCAAGGCGTTAACACTGCTACCCTGCAGCCCTGCCCCTGGCTTCGCATCTTAACAGGCCAGGCATGTACCGTGGTGGCAGCAGAAAAATGTGTTCATTACACCTTGTGCGCAGCGTTTTGATGGAATTGTGCCCACCATATTGTATCCAACCATCGCTGCACAGCCAGCGGTGTTTCAGCATCAACACATGTGGTTGAGCCGATTGTCTCTGCCAGGTTCGGGGACCAAGGGCATATTGGGATTTTCTTCCTTTGACCCTGCTGGACATCGTGAGACAGGCAGCGGAAGGGGATCGGGAATGGTGCTGCTCTATGGTCAAATCAGCCATGCTTGTGAATCGACATTGGTATCTGTGGGCAACGGAGGCACAGGCATCGCTGAATCTGTCAGGAGACTCTCGCCTGGGGTGGATGGTGGGCAAATTTCCAAGAGTGCGCCGCCTGAAGTTTGAAAAGCGCAGCAGGCTTGATGCGAGCGGACTGGCCGCACTGCAGGGTGTACATCACCTGGTTTCTCTTGACCTTGAAGACTGTGACATTGCAGATGGATGTCTGCAGGGCTTGAGGGAGCTGACTTCGCTTGAAAATCTGGGTTTGGGGAAGTGCTGCGTCACAGACGGAGGTCTGGCGTTTGTGGGGCAACTTGCAAAGCTTCAGTCTCTGAATTTGGCTTGCTGCAGAGGGGTCAGGGACGAGGGCCTGAGAAATGTTGGGAAACTGAAGTGCTTGACCAGCTTGGACTTGGCAGGTTGCACGTTGGTCACAGACAAGGGTTTGGAAACGTGCTTGCAGGGGCTGAAGGCACTCACAGCCCTTGGCTTGGCTGGATGTGGATTGCTCACAAACGAATGTTTAGAAGCTGTGGGGAACATTGAGACACTGAAATGCCTGAGTTTGGCACACTGTGAGAGGATCTCAGGCAGAGGACTCAGCAATTTAGGAAAGCTGCAAGCCACCACAGACTTGGATTTGAGGGGTTGTCGAGTCGACAATCGACTTTATCATAGAGCGCATTTATTCATGGGCCTGGCTCACCTGGAAAAGTTGAAAGCCCTCAGCAAGTTGAGTCTGGAGATGTGCACAATTACATCCACTGGTTTTCAGCATGTGACCAATTTTGGGGCCCTTACAAACTTGGTGCTAAGCTATTCTAATATCACAAATACGGGATTGGCACCTGTGGTGGAGTTGACGTCCCTGACAAGTCTACATTTGTCCCACTGTGACGCAATGAGGGATCTAGGCTTGAAATACGTCGGGAAGCTAAAGCTGCTCACTGAACTGGATTTGTCGTGGTGTGGAAAGATCACGGGTACAGGCTTCAAATATATACGTACCCTGAAAAGGCTGTTGAGCCTGAATTTGGCGCACTGCAACATGGTCGCAGATATGGGTGTTGCACATTTACGAAGGCTGGATCAGCTGAACAGCCTCAACATGAGCGCATGTTGCAACATTTCAGATGCGGCCTTGGAGTATGCAGGAGAATTGAGAGCACTTACCAGCCTCAAACTGACTCATTGCGAGAGGGTGACGGGTTCGGGTTTGAGACACCTGCGCAAGCTGCACCGCCTTGTGAACCTGGACTTGGGATGCTGCAAGCAGATAAGGGAGGTCGGCTTGGAGCATGTTGGAATGCTGGGAACGCTAATGAGCTTAAGCTTGGACTCCTGCTCCCTGTTGACGGAAGAGGGGCTGAGTTCCCTCACGTACATGGATTTGCCATCATGCGCACAGGTTTTGAGCAACGGTTTGGATCGCATTGGAATGCTCACTGCCATCACAAGGCTTTGCTTGCGCGGCTGCGCGAGGGCAATGCCGCTGGGCCTGACCCACGTCGGCAAATTGACTTCGCTGATGGACTTGGATCTGTCCATGTGCGAGCGCATCACAGATGGGTCCCTGTGGAACATACGCAATTTGACGAGGCTCGCGACCTTGAACTTGAACAAGTGCTGCCTGATCACGCGCCATGGGGTGGCGCATGTGGCTAAACTTTCGAGCCTCACGGACCTGAACTTGAGCATGTGCCAACGGGTCGATGACGAGGGCGTGCGACATTTGACAAGGTTGGTGGGACTCAAGGGTCTGCAGCTGGAGGGCTGCACTTGCATTACAGATGGTTGTTTGCCATCTCTGGAAAGCTTGGCGGGGCTCCGGGCTTTGAGCTTGGCGGATTGTAGAGGGATTTCCAAGGAAAGAGTGATCAAAAGGGAGAAATGGTGCCGCTCTTGTAGAATAGTTGTATAGTATGACGCACAGCCCCGCATTGGAGAACACATTCCAGGAATTTGTCGCCAAGGCGGAAGTTCCCTTTTTGCGTTTGCACACCACATTGCGAACTGCCACGGGTATGAAAGCCAGCGCGCCAAGCTCGAGAATGTGGTGTTGCTCGTGAACCCGATTCAGATCGTCGTAAGTGACCAAAACCGCAAAGGATGGCGTTAGAAAGACAATCGCAGAAGCCCGCTGCCCCTGCCGAGGGATGAGGTTACTGGAGGAAGACTTCAACCAAAAGTTGCGCTGAAAAAGCGCCACTCAATGCGCGTAGCCATAGCAGCATCTGTAGTTCACTGGGTGCCAACCCGTTATGCAGAAAAGCAGATAGATCCCAGTCCCCAATGACTTCACCTTTTGTTCAGCTCTCTCGTCTCGCGCTCTTCCTCAATGTCAGTGATCAACACCGCGCAACGAAGCTGAAAGACTGAAAGTACAACAAAACAAAAGCGCATTTCGCGAAATCGAGCTGGTGAGCACCCGCTCGCATGAGCTCGTGATCACGAGGCATTTATTGCATTTATATGCATATCTATTGATCTGTAGGCAGCGGACGGCGATCTCATGAGATTGCTGCCTTCCACAGTGCAATTGCACAATGCAGCTGCCGAAGTTGTCCGCCTCAACCGTCAGCAGCTAGTTAACGAAGGCGGACTGACAGCCTGCGCGGTGTCCAGGTGGCCGCTAATTCCATAAATAGCAAACTGCGCGGCAAATAAATGCACCAGACATAGGACCAGTTGCAGCAGCAAGATGGGCTCGAAGACCTTTGCAGCCTGCGCCAAGGATACACAACTTGTACAAGGTTTGATTTTCGCATTTGGCACGGCAACACAGCGTGAACACAGTTGGCCACTTGCTACAGCAAGATACCCACAAGCCAGAAACTTATGCGCAGATAAGTGGCACATGTGAGATGCGACAGCATTGCCATATGCCAAACGGCGACGCTGCTGCCCTGTTTCTGCCCTGGCCTCAGCTGGAACGAGGGGCGGAGAGGCTGGCATGGCACATCTGCAGTTCTTGAACCAATTCTTGTGTATGACTTGCTTGGGAGGTGCCGTTTTGCGTGGGGATTCACCTCACTGGCGCGTGTCAATGACAAAAAGCAAGTTCCCCCAGCCTGTGCGTCCCAAGAGCCGTTGGATTAAGACATGAGCTGGAAATTTGCGGCATGACTTCGTCATAATGATTTGCAAAGAAGCTTGGCACGGTGTCCTGCTGCAATCAGAGTTTCAAGGCGCGAAGACATGCCTCGATTCAGAATTGTTACTCATGAGCTCACTCCCCTCGAGGGGACTGTCCACATTATGGCAGTTTCCTTGTTGCTGACAGGCCAATAGCTGCTGATGATGTCGCAGAATAACTCCCAGTCCCCACCCCACGTGTGGCGTTGCATTTCTTTTAGAAGACTGGGGCACTCTCGGCCTTGCAGGCGCCGCTTGTACGTCCGGAGGGCTGCACACGCGATGTACCCCAGAAGCCGCCAACGCATCGCCATGCGTCACAGAGGCTCTGCAGGAAGTACTGTAGGGAAACCATTGAGATCCTCAGCTGTGGTGCATGTGTTGCTTACAGTGCTTGTGCGCGTGTCGCGCCTGTTGCTTAAAGTACTAGTGCGCGAAACGGGAGCAGTCGCGGTTCCGCAAAACACCACCCGCACGGGCCCCAACACAGGGGAGCAGCAATTACAACAATGTGCACAATCGTGCTCTAAATGGTGCAAGCCAGACTTGCTTGCTGCTTGCCCTTGTCGGTCGCTGCGCCCACCCCTGGACGCCGTCCCCAGCAGCTCACCGCCGCCACCGAGGCGCAGAGCCGAAGATGATCAACGACGAGGGTGCCACCGTCGATCTTTACATCCCGCGAAAATGGTGCGGCCTGATGTGTCCCGCGCCATTCGCCGCGCGTGGCGGCTTCAGCGGCCGCGCCGCCCCTGCGCGAGCTGGTGGTGACTCGTGCCCCGCCGCCTGTGCGACAGCTCGTGGACCAACAAGCTGATCGGTGCCAAGGACCATGGGAGCATCCAGATCAACATTGGGCATTTGGACGCCGACGGCGTCTACATGCAGCAGTTCACTACCTTCGCCATTTCGGGAACCGTTCGCGGTCGGGTGAGTCGCACGGGACGTTCTCCCGAAACGTCTGCCCCCCCGGGCTTGGCGCCACTCGCATGTCTTCGGACAGTACCTACACCGAAAAATTTCCCGCTCCCTGCAAACGCCCGGTTGTAGGTACACGGTTCCCGGTTGTAGGCGGTTGCAGATCCATGGGGGCAGGGGTTATGGAATGGCCTCGCCGTTGCGGTGGCTTGCACTGGGAGCAGTGCAGAAGAATGCTTTTGAATCCCTTGATTGTATCGCTTATGCTCTCTTATCTGTCTCTGCAGTCGGAATCATGCTTGTGTGCTGGGTGCCAACAGGTACAGCGTTGGTTTGCAAGGATTGTCGTTGTATTTGGGGCTTTGTGTTGACAGCACCCCGAGTCCTGTCCCAAAGTACATCGACCACTCACGAAATGTCGATCTCCACAGTTCCTGACTGATGTCCGAAAACCCCAGCAAGCGTACCATGCTGTTGTGTCCCTTTCTGGGTTCATAATCTTGCTTCTGAGCCTGAATTTCCCCATGCAGGGCGAAGCTGACTCTGCCATCGATCTGTTGTGGGCCAAAAAGAGGGCGGAACTCGAGTCGTAGCGAGTGCGTGTGACCAGGGGTCCCCAGACTTGGTGCCTGGAGACACTGACAGCAGAGATGGAGCTTCGCAACAAAAGCCAACATTTGCATGTAGCTGGGGTCCACTGAACATTGTGTAACAAGAAATGCAATTCACCCAGCCTTTGGCATTGTCGTCGTTTGCCATATGACCTACAGCCTTATTCCAAACTTGTTGCAAGTGCCGCTAGAAATTTCATATTGTTGGGTGTTGTTGGGGCTCAGGGTTCTCCAAGTTCCTTGCAGTAGTGTTCAGCGCTTCTTTGTGCGTTGTTCACTGTTGCGACGATCGTCCCGACTTGACAGCCGAGAAGAGATTGGCGGCTGCCTCCTGTTCGTGGCTTGGTCCAGGACACAAGCTGCCCTCATGCTACAGGCTGTTTCTTTTCGCAGCTGGCTATGGCTGCAACAGCGACCACTGCCTCATCCCAACTGCCTCCCCAACTGCCTCCTCCCAGCAGGCCAAGAACTGCATGGATTTGCACGTCATCGAGCTGCCCCCTCACCCCATCAGCTTCAGCTCCACTCTTCCCTGCACTGGCGGCTGGTTCACCCATACTCATCTGTTCTGCAGACATACACGAACCAGCACCCATGTGACTTGGTGCTTTGGCTCATGCACAAGTCCTTGATAGCTTGATGCACTGCAGCACTGGCATACCTGCATTCAATGAGTTTGGTTGAGGACGGTTTGCATCCGGGGCTGGATGGTGCCTGCGTTTCAATGGCCAAGCTGCTGCTCGGGTCCCACAGGACCTCTGCACCAACTGGACAATGGTGTTGACTGGCCTGTTCGGGCCTTTCCGTGCATTGCTTGATTGTCTGACCATCTGGCACAGCATCGGCAGGACCAACGATCGCATCGCCCTTGCTCTGTTGGTTGGGCTCACTTTCCCCTTCATTGTGTCTGCTCGAAGCTTGCCACAAGCCACCAGACACAAGACTTCAGGCGCTAAACACTCAGCACCTGCTTCCTGTCCCTGGACCAGCTCCCCACCAACGGGAGGCACTGAACGGCATCTGCAGGAGAGAGGGGGCCCTTCCTGTCACAGCTACTTGGGCGGCACCCGGAGAAATTGTCCCGTAGGGATTCCTTGCCCCCAACCTGGAAGGCGTGCAGGCAACAACCGGGCAAGCCCGCCATCCCCCCATTCAGCAGCATTGTGTCGTCCGAACCCAACCCAAGGACCCTTTCAACCTTCGTTAACCGGAATGGTGGTGCCACCTCGGCCAAAAGGGGCGGGCCATGCCTCCAGACACTGCTCCAAAACTGCACCACCGCCCCTAATGAGGCCTCCCGCCATCCGCGATCGCAAACGGCGATCTCTCCCCCCCCTGCCCCTGTTCCCGATCCTTGCCAGCCCACGCTGCTCCAACAGGCCCAGCCTCCAGCACCGATGCCTCATCCGCCGCGTGCCTTCCCGCTGGCGCCTTGAGCCCGACCGCCGTGGCCGCAGCGTCGTTTCGCTCATGAGCAGCCATCTTTTGCGCGTCCGCTGCCGCGAGTGTGGAGGCTCATGCGGTGCAGGCGGACCCCAACTCCTGCGCAAGGGTTCCGCTGCACAACGCACCGTTGTGGTGGGCGGTCAGCAGCAGGCTTCCAGTTCTTTGCCTGCAGCGCTGGAGCTGGTTCTGTTGGACAATGAGATGACCGCCGCCCTGCCGCGGTCTCCTGCCCACTTAGGCAGAGCGGGTAAGTTGAGCGCACGGGTGGCACGTGGAGTGGAGAACTGTGGAGGTGCAGCACAAGGAAAAAATGTGTCCATCCAGGTTCGAACTGGAGACCTTCAGTGTGTTAGACTGACGTGATAACCAACTACACCATGGACACCCGATGACAATGGGATTAATTTCTTGTATTAATTGTGTTTTATTAAGTGTGTTTTATTAAGTGTGTTTTCTCTTTCCACCAACTTGACTGTTTTTCCAGTCCGAACTCCGGACCACTGCCAGCAACACCTTGAAAAGGGTCCACTGCGACTGGTGACACTATATCTGCTTGTACGCGTTCAATTATCCACGCCAACACCAGCCTCTGAGGCTACATCGCAACTTCCACCAGGCTTGTTATTTACGTTTATGATCACGTTTTTACGTGTGAAAAAGTAAAATTGCAAAAGGGGATATCTTTACGGTTGTATGAGGTGTTTACGACTCGTTGTAACACCCAGGTTACACGATGAAAGTCGCGTACAAATGATCAGTCCCACATCATCCGTGGCCTGCCCAGTGACGGCATTCGCTATTTGGTGAGAGGGCAGTGATGTGTTATCACGCTAAGATTTACAGCACAAAACTTCGCCCCGGCTCCTTCCTCCATTTCCTGCGTTGCGCTCAATTTTGGCATGCAAGGCGTTCTTGTTTTGGGACAATCGCCATCAGTGAAGGCTGCCTCCTGTGCGGATGTGAACACCCCAAGCTAGGGGGCGCCGCCCTCACCACGAGTTACACACCTTCCTTTTCATTACACATCCGAAGTTCCCAACATTACAGCACGCATCCATTGCCATCGCTGCCAACCCAGCAACGCCCCCATTGCGCGACTCACAGAACACACGCGACGCCAGCTTGCAGCAGAGCGGCAGAGACAACGCCGCGATCCGGCGCTGTCCCGCCCACACTGCCCCTGCAGCCGGCGCATTGCATCACGCCGTTATGCGAAAACTCGAACACCAATAATTCCTCAGCAAGAAATCAATGAACCGACCGCAAAGGCAAAAGACAAGTACACTTGTGGTTTCTCACTCACTTTATCCACCCGATGGTTCGAACCCAAAGTTCTTTTTCGTGTTCCTAACAAAACGCAGCGAGCGATGGCTATCCCACCCCAAACTCACCCCACACAACCTCCTCTGGTGAAGGGAGCTGCCGTAGAGATGTCAAGGGATCCCAAAGCTCAAATCCGACCACAGTTCAGTTGTCTTTCTCCCCGCCCGTGCGACCACCCCTGGCCTGCTGGTGAGAGACTGTCCATCCAGCAGCGCCATGGGAGGCGCATCGATGGGGTATGTCCCACGTCTGCCTAAACAGTCAGAAGCGCATTGACGGCCACAGACGTCCTCATTCCAGGGCTGTTCTCTCGCTCTCTCTTACCCACCTCCCCACCCAGCAGTGCAAATTTCCGCAAGCCTTGGTAGTGCCCCAGCTGAACCCGGAAAAAAATTAACAATCTTTCAGCTTTACTCCCACAGGTGCGCGGCGGCAGGACACCTCTCGCAGCCCTTGCCGCGTGCTCGACTTGCTCTGCCACGATCTCCCCTTGCTGCATGCCGCACATAGCTCAAAGCTCTCGTACAGACCACTGGCCGGCCACAAACCCACCCACCGTCGCGGCTCGCATCATTCGCTAACACACATGCCTGGCTCAACTTCACCAGTACTGACCCCCAGGAACCCCAGGCCCACCCATCCCCACGAGATTGCACAGTAGTATGAGAGAACAGGCCCACACATTTGTTTCTAATGGTACATCCTACCAATGCCATGGTCCTAACCTGCGACATCCCCCCTCAAACCATGGGCATCCTTCCAATCTGGATACAGACCACACACCCGATCAAAGAAAACTGTGAATGGTCGCATGCGCCCGTCGTCGGAATGCGCGCACGCGCGCCACCGACCGGACAGACTGCCAAGTGTGTGCCACGAAGCCCGTCTCGGTTGCGGGGGCCCAAGAAAATGGCCCCCCAAGCCCCCCAAAATGAAATGTGACGCTTCAGAATTTGATACAAACAACAAAACTGCGCAAACGTTTCAGGCCTGGGCATACCCCAGCCGAAGACGAGCGAAGTCCATGAACTCTGCCTGATTCAGTGCCGGCACACACTTCCCCTTGGTCCCATCTCCTGCCAGCCGCCCATGTAGATATCTAAGCACAAGGCAAGTGCGACTCAACACGATGACTTTTCGCCCCCACAGAACATTCCTTCTAATTGCCTGATCGGTCAAGGATGTAATCTGTATTCAACCCAACACGCTCTGATCTGTAGCTACTCAACTACCGGGCCCCGTGCCCCACATCCTATTCTTCCTGGCCCCCCAGCTGCCCAAATCTATCCCCACTCCCCTGCCCTCCCCTCCCCTCTCCCTTGCTACCCAAGCTCCACTACCCCCCTCCCGCCCCCATCCACACACAGTGGACCGACACCCTTGCCTATTCAAGTACATTAAAAGATCACTTCCGCCCCACAGGACAAATGGCCTCTTCCGCACCATGGGTAGATCACTGGTTCAGAACTTCGGGCAAGACGTCCCGAAATTCGTCGCCGACTGGCCCCGACCATTCACACGCTCCTGCGTCCTCCACAGGCCCTCGTCCAGTGCTTCCTGGATGTGGCCAGTCAGCAGTTCCATGAACACGCCCCAGTCCTCCTCGCCCATGTGGCTGAAGATGTCATTTGCGCTGGAGGGGGCCGCTCCCTCCACAGGTGGGGGGTAGGCAAGTGGCAACCCCTGTATGGGCCTGCTGATCTGCATGCTCAGCTTGCGCTGCCGCAGCTGCCCCTGCAAGCCCATGGGGCGGTGCTGGTGTGCTGAGGGCAGTTGCAGGGAGACCGACCTTGTGGCCTTGTGGCAAGCCATGACGCGCCCCACAGGAGCCCTTGGGGAGTGCTTGGCTGCCTGCTCAGCCATCGGCGGTGGGCAGGCAGTCAGGCGAACGAAGGAGGACTCCAGGGGCTCGGCATCAGAAGGCAGCTGCTTGCTTGTGGAGCAGCAGCCCAGCCGCGAGCTTTCATCAAAGGTGGTGTGAGATGGCGGCATGTCATCGAAATCTGCAAGAAATTGTGGAGGCTTGTTCAGGACATAATGCAGAGCAATCAACGAACGTAGATTGGTTCAAAACAAAATGCCACTTGAGCTGCAAGCAGTATCAGCGCATTATGACGATAGTGGAGATACGTATGCTCTATAAAACAGAGACTTTTGGAAAAAAAGAGCAACAGATAATCAGAGGAACGCACCCATTGTCCGGATCCAGGCTCTCACAGGAGAGAAAAGCAACGTAAGGACGGCTTGATGAAAAGAACGGAACAAACACTAACAGAACAGAAAGCAACACCTGTTGCGGCCGTTGCTGCCAATGGGGGAAATGGAGGGGTGCAAAGGAAGAACGAGGGAGGGGGGAGGGAGGGGGGAGGAAAGGGAGAGGTACGCCTGGAATAGGGAACTGACAAGTGCTGGAAGCAGCTTGCTCCCAAAACTGGCACCTTGGGATATGCTGACATCACAATGTGCTCACAAACACACCGTCTGTCAACAATGCACCCTTGCCCACAACAACTCCATGTGTTCCATTCTTGCGCACACAGTGTTGCCAGATTCAATGCCACAAAGCATCCTGGTAGGCAAGCAGGATGCCATTGTGCTCCTCCCTCTGACAAGCAGATGCCATTGCGTCTTTTGCAACATTTGCAACATTTGCTCTCTACGACACAAGAAATTCAGTCCCTATTGCATTTGCAACCAGGCGACAAACCAGCCCTCTTCTCAACACCGAGGTTGTCAAGATGCTTTGAGATATCACGGCAAGCAAACAAAAACACTGTCCGTGATACTTCCTGTCAATAAAATGATCAACAACAACAACCACGCCCTTATAGTGCTCACCTTGTGCCCTCTGCTCCCCTTGCACATCATCAATGCAGAACTGCAGCTCGTCCCCCCTCACTGGGCGTGGGCTCCTTGAGTAGCTACTCACCTCACCATCTGAGTCGCTCATGGAGATGCCCAGACCGCAATTCCACATGTGGACCATGACCTCCTGCTTGGTCAGTCTGCAGATCCTCTCCAGCTCAGACAGCTCACTGTCCAGGGCCACCATTGGCCTGCTCATCACAACATCATTTCATTCGCTTCTCACTGACTCGTGTCTCACCATCACCAACGCAAAAGCCCCAATGCCAGAAACAAGAAAATACAATGGCCACAACAGATATGCACATCTGTTCCACATATACCCAACCGCACAACACAGCCGGCCATATAATTAGCACATGCTAGCGATCTCTCTATTCACCTGCTCATGACCTCGCCTATCTCATGCAGTGACAGGCCTGCTGCCGCACAACGCTGGAGAAGGAGCGTGGTGACCTCCAGGGTGCGCAGGCACTCCACGGGCAGGATGGGTAGGGCTGACATGAGCAGTTTCTTGTCAGCCTTGAAGTCCAGGTTGGCGATGTACTGGAGCTCCTCCTCTGAGAAGGGAAGCATGGCCTGCAAGCAAGGCACCATGGGGTTTCAGCGAAAAACGTCATTCGGACTAGAAAAGCAGCAAATCATACAATGCACAACCCTTCCTGACCAAGAACCTCCTGAGCAGGGCTTTCCATAGAATACAAGATTGGGCATGAGTTTTCTGAGCACAACAGGAATGTAACGATGCAGGGCATGAGCACATTCTGCATCCAGTTTGCTTGCCAAGTGAGCTTCCGCAGCCTGAAGTCAGCCCATTGCAACAGGCAGGTGCATTTTGACAGCTGTAGCACACCGGCTGGAGAGCAGAACAAGGTCATTCTAGAGAAGATGCTGCAGGCGACATCGAAACGAAAAGGAACAGCACAGCTGTGCCCGGTCAGAGCACATTCCAAACACAGGGTTAACACAATCTCCTTGCCCATTGCCAACCATAAACGCCTTGCTCCTAGCTGGCTCAATGCATGGCGCACAGCGCATGCTTTCACAACGGGGGTGCCTTACCTGAAAACATGAGGCAATCTCCCATCCACAGGACCCCAAATGTACAGCACCACACCCTGAGTGTGCAAGGACACTGCTCTTCTCTATTTCGACAAATCCAATAACAGTAGGCAACAGGACAGCAAAGTCAACCACAGAGCGGCAGTGTTCCCACCTGCGGCCAGTACAGCCACTCAAAGTACGGCGGCTCCAGCGCCTCTGGCAAGCAGAACCCATGGTCTATTGGCACAAGCTCATACTGGCTCTCCTGCAGCCGGGCCGCACCACTCCTGGCCCCCTTTCCTGAGGGCTTCCGCACCAGGATGTTTCCTGCATGCCTGTCTGTGTTGTACAGGCGCACGTCAAGGATGCCAATACGATGGACGTCCCCCACATTAAACCTGGAGCTGCCAATCTCTGATGTGTCACACATGTGTGACACATACTCCTGCAGGGAACCGACCTTGAGGTGGTGGGGGCCCTCGGCACTAAGTGAAAGTTCTGTTTGTGGAGAAACTGAAATGGACAGGTCGCTTGACTCGGTGTAGGGATCCAAGGGGGTGGTGGCATAGTGGAAGCACGGGTGGCTTGCACGCACCAGTAATGTGTGTGGCACGTTTGCAAAGCTGCAAGACAGAGTCGAAGCGATCAGACAGGGCACACGCTGACTATATAGAAGGGTGAGATGAGGGTCACCCATGTGGTTGAGAGGAAGAGCACGCAATGCAAACAAGCCGAGAGAGATTCGTGCCTCAGGTGGGTGCACCCACATGCTCAAAGAAAAGGCCCATCAGCCTTCTTGCTTGGCCAAATCCATCCATCACATAATTGTTGGCTCCAACAAATCAACTGCCGGGCTCCCACTGAAGGAACAACCTTGCAAATCGCTTCATCGACCGCATAGCTGTCCACAAGAATGCTGAAGGGAAACTTCCAGTCAGGATTCTGCAGATGAGCAAGGACATTGCAGTTTCGAATTCATGGAAGGCACAACGACAATGCAATCTGCGCAAGCATTAGGAACAATGACATCGTTGGGTGTGCCGTACCCTTTGTCCAGCAAATATGCCGCAACTTCCCTAATGGCTGCCTCCCCAACCCGAACTGTGGGCTTCAGACCGGCCGCCCCAAGTGAACGCCCGACAAAACCTTTGGGGTTGTTTGGGGCCATGGGCTCCTCATCACATGGCTTGAATATTGCCACTGTCTTGTCCATGCCATTCCGGATGAAGTAGGTCCCACCCAGGCCTTCAGTGGACTGCTCTGGATCCTGCCACATTAACAAACCATCCCTTGCATTGTGTGCTCTAAGTTCAGGGCGATCCAACTGTGGAAAGTTGTGGGAAATAATGACATGCAACAACTTTCTCACAAATGCTTCTGTCTCCAAACCCACGTCCATCAATCTTGCTATGCTCCATTGGAAACCACAAGGCAGTGGTGCCACATTCCACTGACCTTTCCGCTTTCAGCAGCTTCTCCCACTGCCCTGACCAGCGCGCTCACCCCAGTTGTCATGCACTGCGTGTGTGTGTTGGTGCAAACCTCCAGCTTCAGTCCATTCTGTCCAAGCATTTGATCCACACAGTCAGCTTGAAAATCGCTGGCACCAGGCGCGCGCACTCTGCTCTGTCCCCCAACGATGATTGCAACCAACAAACCTCCAGAGCCACCGATGAGCAGCCAGGCTCACGACCTGCACCCTGCTAGCACTCTCACAGCCAGCACATCTTGACTGCTTGATTTGATCACTGCTCTGGCACAAGGAGGTATTAGTTTGTCGAGCAGCCCCCTTCCAGGCGTGGCGCGCCGCACGCAAGGCGCCGAAACTCACCGAATCCGAGCCGGTTATCACCGGCCACGAACCGAGGATGTCCATGAAGCCCCAGGCGCCCGGGGCCCTGCCTCCCGCCGGAATCTGCTCCGCCTGTTCGGCCGCCCTTTGGCGGGATTCGACAGCCAGCCCCGAAATGGGCTTGCTCCACAGGACCGGCACCGCGCCGATCCCGACGCCCTCATCCTCGCCTTCCAGCTGCGGACACAGCGGCAGGCGAGCGGTCAGGGCACGACGTCCATCAGCGCCGCGCCCGTCGTCGCCTCATGGCTCCATTAGCAGCGCCCCGGTCTGTGTCCGAGGTGCCTCTCACGCGGATTGAATGCGGCGTCGCGACGAGGATGCCCAGTCCGAACTCGGAGACTGACCGGACGAAAGCCAGCCGCGTTCCGCGCTTGCCACCACCCGCAAGGGCAAAGAGCAATCCCCAAGGGATTTCTTCCAGCGCAGCGGGCGGCGATCGGCCTCGAGCAGCGGAAAAGGGCAGCGGCGGGCGGTCGCCACCCCGTGCAGGGAGCGCACCACCTTGCGCCGCTGCGCGTACGCTAGGGCGGTACGCCGTGCGCTTACGAAGCCGTTGTAGTCCATGGTCTCGCCGCTATCGCGACCCGCCGCCGTGGCTCGCTGGCCTGCCGCCCCGCGGTGCTGCTGCCTGCGGCAAGACGGGCACAAAAGAGGTCAGCCCAAAGCCCCACACTGAGCCGCGTCCCCGCTCGAAGGGGGTCCAGTGAAGCGCCAGCCGCTCACAAACTTTCGGACGCGCATCTTTTTCCCCTTTCGGCCTCCGTGCCCGCGGCTCGGCCATCGCCGATCACGCACCGGCCCGGCCCAACTCGATCCATCCAAGACGGCAGGGAACCGGCGCCCAGCACCTCCTCGCCGCTTCGCCGGCCCCAAGGGGCTGCGGCACCCCTCCAGACGCGTTGGCGCCTCCCAACCGCAGGGCCCCGCACCACAGGCCCCCACGATCGGCGGCCCACACGAGCCCAGCTCGTGCTGTCGAGCCCCGCCGCATGGGGCCGATGCGAGGTTTGCCAACCCCACGCCTGGCAGATTCTGGATCCTGCCGACCGGCGCACCGGCCCGCCCCTCCCCCCGCCTCCGATCGATCAGCCAGTCGCCCACCAAGCGCTCTCACCCCACACACCCCACACCCCTGCGCGTCAATGTCGCAACCCTCCGGCGATCATTCCCCAACAAGCGCCGGCCCCGCAACCCCTCAGGCCAGTCGGGCTTGACACAAGGGGTGATTGGCCAGGGCAGGTCGGCGAAATCCCCCTCTCGCCGCATGCCAACAACTTCTGCATCGCGGCGCGTGGCAGGAGAGCCCGCGCGCCGACCGCAGCGCGCCCACCGCCCGGCCCCAGCGATCGGAGGCCCCCGCGTGGCGCCATGGCCACCACCAGTGGGTGCCCGCAACATCGTCCCGTGCACATCTCCCCGCCACTCGCAGACCGCCGCTCGCCCCGATTCGCAAATCCCCGGTCCCCCTCGGCGCAATCCCGCCATCCTGCCGTGACAACCCTCGTGCGAGGCAAGCTCCCAATGGGCAAAACCCATCTCGGCGACGGGCCTGACACCGTCCCGCATATCACCGCCCTCCGCCGCGGATCACCCCTTCCGAAACCACATTGCGCCATCAGCCCATCACACCCCGACCGCACGGATGCCCCAATTCCCCCCCACCGGCGCGCCGCGATTCTCCCCCGCCGTGCCCCGGCTCAAAATGCACCCAGATTCAACCCCAGCACAAGCCGGGTCTGACAATTCCACTCTCGCCAATCTCGACGGGCGTCAGAGGCTGCAGGCCCGCCCACCTGTCTTCCTCCCACTCGGCGAAGTCGACGGCGGGCAGCCCGCCCGCGCCGGAGATCATCTCCGCCGCGAGGCGCAGCCAGGCGGCCAGCCAGCAGCAGCCCAGCCCGCAGGACCCGCCCTGCCGCCCCCCCTTCATGGATGCATCCGCGCCCGCCGCGCTCCGCTCCGCCCTGCCGCGCATGCGGCGAGGTGGCGCTGGCGGGCCCGGCGGGGCAACGCCAGTCCGGGCGCCCTGGGCGACCGCAACCCCGCAGGCTCTGGCCGCGACACGCGCTCGTGCATTTCGGGCGCGCAACCGCCCCCCGCCCGACTTAATATTGAACCCACCGCGTCAGGCCCACGTGGGGATACGAAGTACCGGTACAATATACTGGCTCTGGGATTGACGCACGCGGACGGGCGCACGTGAGAAAGGTGTACGTGGCTTAAGTACGGTGGGGACAACAACTGAATGAGTACAGGCGGGCGCGAGGTGCGGAGATCGGCCCGACGCAGGCGATGGGCCGTTTGAAGGGTCCCGGATGAGTCAGCGTCAATGGCGTGCTGACGACGCGGCCCATACGCCTCAAGGCGTGTGGGCTGGTTGGGGCGCGTGGACGGCGGGGTCAGCCCAATATTGGAGTGGTATGAAGGGGTGCGGGATGTTGCGAGGTGCATGTCAGGGCACCGGCAGGACACTGCAGGATGAGGACGTAGGGTCTGCGGCGTTCGGCCCAGGCCGATACCCACCTTGGAAGTCCCTCGTCGCGCTGTCAATCTTGTACGAGAGGACACACAAAAGAAGAGGAGACACTGATTGTGTGTGCCAGAAAAGGTGACTGGGAGGCGAGCTGGCCATGGCACAGCTTGTGCACCCAATGTGCTCCCAATGTGCTCAGGTATCCAGAGCATTATTTATCTCATTGTTTTCTCTGCAAAAAACAGGCCAAGCGTTGCGTTATTATGCGGATGGGCTTAGAAACCGACGGTATTGTGCAGCAATGGTGGTTGGGAACGAGTTCTTGCTTCAGGATAACGTGTTGTGTTGCCATTCCAGTCTCTTCAGAAAGGGGACGTCGTCATCCCTTTTGGTGCCTTGGCTGTCCTTCCCATGTATTGGTACGTCCTACTATCCACCAGCGTCACCACGTATATTAACTGTCCTATGCTACACACTGTTATGCCTCACAATACATACATGCGTGGAAAATTTTCCCCGTGACGGGTAGCATAATTTGGGCTTCGTGGATTCGGTGTGGGCTATCGCATGGCGTTGTTTACTTGTTCTCAATCCTGGCTGTCTGGCCACAATGCATTGTGGCATATGCCAAAACAAGCTTTGGTGGTCGCGATATCGAAAAGTGCACCAGATTGCACAAATGCAAAGGCACACATTCTTCTGAATGCAACAGCACTTTCTGCATACACAAGTATCTTCCAAGTATCTCGCCATCACACGTCAAGATCGACAGGCTGTCAGAAAATTCGTTCTTCACAGTTTTTGAATCCGTGAAGCATGCCTCGTTGGGCAACGTTGGGGGCCACTGTCATGCACTGCGTTCCTACTAGGCTGACATGTACCATATTTACCCAGTATTAGTAGGCGTGTGTTGGAACCCCAAAATCAGCGGTGGATACCAATATTGGGTCATGGATACTATTGCAGTTTAGACCCCTGATCCAAAGAGTATACAGAGAAAATTTTTGAAACACAGACTGCGAAATTCCCAAAGAATGGGATTGAGCTAATGTAAGATGCAGTGCATAGGTAGCAGCAGCACCAAGTCCAAGTTAGAAATAATAGGCACCACATTATTGACAACACCACATTGTTAGTGAGCAATGCTATTACTGAAAGTTGGCAGCATCTTCACGGGAGCCAGCGGCTTGGATTTGGGGCTGCACCAGGTGGGGGAGACTGGCGATAGGAGCCAACAGGGGTTCCTTGGACTGCTCGAGGCGCGTTTGCCTCCGCGATGCGAAGAACGAGGACCGACATGGCCTGCAAAACGCCGCAAAGGCAGGGTCCGTCTCCAATTCGCACAGCAGCCACGCCAAAAACCCATGGGTTTGTTGTGTGATTGGCCATCACAGATCCTTTCAGCTGTCCCAGCCGGCATCACCCTGGGAAAGCGCCGGGAACCAAGTCCGTCGTCGCGACGCGGCGCCCTAGCGTGTCTAGGCGACCTTGCGAGGTGATGCCTCACAAAGGCGGCCGGCCCGACCAGCGTCGTCGCTTGCCGTCCCTGGCGCTTGGCCTTGGGGCGCCCTAGGCAGGCGTCACCGGAACCCGCTCTGGCCGGCCGGGGAGCAGGTTGACTCATTCTAGAAACCAGGGCGGCTTTGATTTCTCGATTGCTTCTTTGGTCGGGGATAGCAGCGTCGGGCGCAGCCCGGCGATCCTGTGCTAAAGGCCAACGAGAGCCTGTCAACCCCGCGGCCTTTCGCGGGCATTCTGCCAACGGCATCCACGCCGGCCCGATCGTCATCATCAATGCACGAATCGCTGGGAACACGGTTTGGACCAGACTGGGCAACGCGGCCCAATACCAGCCGCCGACGTCCCTTGCCACCATCCGCGCCTTTCCTCGTTGCTGCTCTATTGGGTTTGGGGGTGGATACGAGCACCGGGTCACGGATAATAACGTGGTTTCGACCATTAAAGCGGGTGGATACTAATAGTGGGCGGATACTAATACCGGGTAAATACGGTAGTATGGCATATCCATGAGGGAACGCTGCCAGAGCGTGCACTCACTGCGGGTGGCAATGTGCGAGAGTTGCTCTGTCCACCTTGTCTGAACTCTCCAGAGCCCGGGGAACAATAATTGCGTCGACTTGTGTATTGGAGGGTATGGTTCTGGTGCCTGGCCTCTTGCCGGTCAACAAGATGCTGTCCTATGCTCAGCCAATTTTGTGAAGTTCAAGCGGGCCGTATTTATCGGGTCACAGACTGCCAGTGATCGGTGCTGTTCGGTGGCAAGGAGAAATGCAGGACACCTTGAAAACATGCCCGAGGAAGTGAACACTGCCCTATATCGCTCTACGCTCTTCCAACACTATGTGCAACGGAGCCTCTTCGTGATGTATAGAGAAAGGCGGCCGGTGTCATGCACACGAACCGCCATCGCCCCATTCGCGGCTAGGTTAAGAACATGAAGATGCAGTAGCAAAATTGAACAGATTTCGGACTGTTCGGCGCAGTTCTGAAGTTGAGCAGCAGTATCTCACCGACGATCTAGCGAACGACATCTGTCCCCGACTGAAGCCTTGTTAGCGAGAGCAATTAGCGATATCAGCAAGTCGCGGCACGCTCTCCAGCACACAGGCACGGAGGATGCATTCTGTCAAGTTATTTGCACAATATCTGTCCAGGAGGAGCGCCAATGGGCATGATCTCATTGCACATCGAAATTCTGTTCGCTACTGCTATATATTTGCACAGCAGCCCCCGCAACAACATATAGATCCTCAGCCAGTCACACCGCGGTATGACGAAGTCGACAAACGGAATCAAGGGTCTTACACGGCACAATGTCAGCTATGTGCAGAGGTTCCGCTCATATCAGTATCTCGTACTTCACTGCCGACGGCACCTTGTTGACGACAACCCGGCCGTCGTAGGACACCGATGCGAAAACGAAGGGCTCCACACAGCTCCAAGCAAGGCCGTACACGCTGTCTTCATGGTCGTCGTACGTGTGGGCCTTGTCGTCAATGACAGCGCTGCACAGGCACGCCACATGGGTGAAGCATTGCTGCAAGGAACGCTGATGGGAATGCACCATTTGGCACTGTTTCGCGGAATTGACGAAATGAAATGGAGTGAATGTGTTTAAATCGGGATTAGGGCCGTTGGGTGGGAACTTTGGACGGCCAACGGGAGTGTCCGTTGTGGGCACACTTGGATTTGGTGTGAATGGCGCTGCCACTACACAAACTGGGTATGACTGGCTCAGTGAGAAAGTGTTTGGCACAACTCTTAAAGTTGTGGCTAGCTTATGGGCAGCGACCCTTGTTTCAGGGCGCGGTTGGTGATAAAGTCCAGGAAACCGAACTGAGCACAGTTTGCACGGCTGGGAACGCAGTTTCGAGACTATCCGTGCAAACGGGGAACTTGGGACTAAAGGTTGGCCAAACGAGTGTGTGGCTATCTCGTTTTTCGCTCCCGCACACCTCATCCCAGGTTATTGGCTTGAATTTTAATGTAAGGAGAGACAATTGGCAAACTGGTGTGACCGCACTCGAAGGCGTTAGAAGTGCAGAGACTCTACGTAGGTTTTCTTCAGTTTTAGAGTAGATGGTCAGGCGCCCCGAGTGTGCCCTCCTTACCCGAGTTAATGCAAAGAAGCAAGTCTATAAACGGGTGGGCAAGGCCCCCCGAGATTTAAACCGCGTACATTCCTGTGCTCAGCTTTCAGCAATTCTACGCGAACGAACATACATTGAATTGTGCATGAAAGGCATTTCGTGGCAGCTGAAGCGGACGGCGTCAGCTTTCAAAGGAATGCCACATGATAAGCAATGAGACTAACTGCCTTGTGGTCTGCGAAGAAGACTTCACAGGCCGTATGGCAGGGGGGTATTCGGAGGTGGCGGCGCCTGTCAGCACACCAAGCATAGACGAGGAACGTTGCAGCTGAAGCGGACAGCATCAGGTTCGAAAGGAATGCAAAATGATCAGCAACGAAACTAACGCTTGTGGTCTGCGAAGAAGACTTCACTTCAGGCCGTATGGCGGAGGGCTATTCGCAGGCGACGGCGCGTGTGAGCAAGCAAAGCACAGACGAGGGACGTTGAAGTCATCAATCGACCGTGAGAGGCATAAATAGACATTTCAGGAACAGAGGCTACTGTGGTATTTTGCCCTTGCAATTCCGTAGCTGTTTGGACAACAACATGGCATGCTTTTTCTACATTCACCAACCCTGGCCACCTCTGTCAAGACAAAGTAACTAGTTTCTTCCATTGAAGAGCCAACACTGGAGCCGTCATCTTTGAAAACAAATCAAGTTTTCCAACGCTTGCAAACGTCAAGCAAACTTGCCGTCACTGCTGTTATGTGCCAACACAATTCTCCCCTAATTTACTTACTGCAGGACATTATTCATGGGGCTTACCATCTAGGTGAAGTGCCTTTTGGGGATCCCTCAGGAGCAGTTCCTGCTGACTTCGTGGACCAAAGCAGCACCAGGGAGTCCGAGGATGAAGACAGCAGAAGTTGGTTGTGGTGGGGGTTGAATCGGCACTTCCACACCCAATGAGAGTGCCCATTCAGCTTTGACAGTTGTGTGGGCTCCTTCATCTGCCTGTCAACGGCATGGAAAAGCGTCAACATCTGAACGAACCTTGGGGAGATGTGCTCAGAGGCAAGTGGAACACAGACACTCAGCAAACATTGTGCATGTGAGCGGCGCCCAGCATCTGGCAATCGGCGGGCCAGATGTGCAAGGGCAAGAGCATGGAAGGTGCAAGGCGGCGATCTGTCGTCCTTGATCATCACATCCCAGCCAAATATATGTCACAAAGGGGATTAAGCTGGGGGCCGATGCACTTACAGTGAAAGAATAAGTATGCAGCGAAAGAGCACAAATGCATAACCCGTTGCAGCACCTGCGACAAGCAGTTCCGAAGCAGACCCATGTAGTGCACCAGCCTGTAACCTGGCTGGGTTGGCATGGTGTGATGAGAGCATGCAAATATATGTGCATGCCCCTTTGAACTGTGTGATGTTATTCTGAGCATCGACAACAACAGATTCGATCATGATCCACACCAGTCTTGAAACTGACGCCGGTCTATAGCAAGGAAACCAAGAACACATGCTGATGCAACATGGATCCATAAACACAGCAATACAAAAACCCACTCATAGACATCAAGCAACGGCTGGTCCCACTGTATGGCACATGGTGTAGATAAATTCATTTACGGGACAGCAAACGAAACAAGTACAAGAGCACAGGTGATGAACAGCAGATTGCTGTGGTCCTGAAGCAATGCCAACTATGGTGGTGAACCCGAACCTGAGGTCCCAGATCCTGATGGCACAGTCGTCCCCACAGGTGGCCAATTGACCCTGCTGCTGACCCGCAAAGTCAACGTCCCTGACGGGCATTTCGTGGGCATTGTCCACTTCTTTAGTCTGCTGCATGGCTCTCAGGTCCCAGATTTGAAATCCGTTGCCACCAGCGGTGCACAGGGTATTGGTGTCCTCAGCACACCAGCTGCCACTCCACAGTTGTTGCAGTTCACCAGCAGGGGCTGATCCTGAAGACTAAACACAGTTGATCAAAAGTGGATCAATGTCAACATAAGGGGCGATTCCGCTTGGATCAGATCAATGAGAATGGAGTGAAGTTTAGGATGACATCAGTGTATTCATTGTACTGAATGACAGCATCAGAATCAACACAAATTCTTCCTATTACTAAAGGCAGTGGCCTATGTACCCTCAGCATTGTATCCAACAAGGGTCATGTGCCATCCCCTTGTTGTGTTCTCCTCAACCTCTAGGACACAGGCTTGTGAAATGTTGAATTCACTCTGTCCCCACACACATGCAGGTGTGCTTATTTGCTTGGCATCCAGTGGCACTTGGGGCTCAGCAAGTCCACAATGTGAGAGAACTTCACTTCCAATCAGAAATTCAACTGCCGTGCAGCCCTGCATCAATCAAGTGGGCATAGCTGAGCTCTGCAGCAATTTCCACCCTTTATGGGCAGGGTATTTGTGATCTTTCCAACCCTCCCGCCTTCCACGTCCTCCCACCTTTACAGAGTCTTCTGCCACGCTCCAAGTCTCCAATTTGCCTTCCTCCACTGTGGCCACCTTGCCGTCGTCTTTGGGATGCCACAGCACCCTGGGCAACATTTTGGACCCTTCTAAAGATTATGAATTGCCACAAGTTGGGGACAGCATCCCAAAGGCTCCGCTCTTCATATCTGCCTTGGCAGTTGGGCATCATTTGTCACAGTTGGCAGGTGAGTTGGAAAAATGACTGACACAGCACCCGGAGCAAGAATGCTGCCAGATGTGTCAGCACAGGGATCAGTTGCAGTCCAATGCACCCCATGCCTAATGGAGGCACTGGTGGCCATCCTATATAAAGAAAACAACCATCAATAATGGCAATGGCAGTTGGGTGGGGAGCACTTTCATAACTGCAGTTGCAAGAAATTGCCAAAACATTGTCCACCTGCCCTCTCACCTTGCGATGCAGGGGACATTGCTGCACATCGCAAGCATGGAATCCAGGTTCCATTTGCAAGCCATAAATCCATGGCACCAAAGAAGCTGAAGGAACAGACACCCACTGGCTACCTTCTTATAGAGGCATCAATGTCCGGGAGCTCTGACAGGGAGTTCAGGACTTGTTCTCCTGGCACTGTCGACCACAGATTCACATGGTATTCCCCACCTACCACAGTCAAATTGGCCACTTGACATGAGCGGAATGCTTGCAAGGCTCACATGGGGGTAACACTGTGTACCAAAGTGCCATGGGGCAGCATGTTTGTGCACCCCTTGGATCTCATGGCGACATCAATGTCCATGTTGCACAAAATCTTCAAACTTCAAAACGTCAACAAGCCTTACCCTGCGCAAGACTAGCGGTTCAGCTCATCTAACCCATGCAAGGCTGCACAAGGCAACTACATGCAATCTTGCCAGAAACGTTGCAGAAAAGTGCCTGCCGTCAAAGCATACGCACAATGTGCTTTGGCCACAACTGCCAAAGCTTGAAGAGCCGCTGCATGCTGCATTTGCAATCTGATGAGTCTGTGCAAGAATTGGCTAGGATTGGCAAGCAACATAGCAGTGCGTGAACACAGAGGGATACAATTAAATGGCCTTCCCCACAGAGGTTAAAGGCGGAGTGTTGCACAAAGGGATGTTGCAAAGAGGTTAGTCGTAACTAGTGCCAACTAGTGATTACCATGTGAGCAGCATGTTTGCCCAGGTTCAACCAACAGTTCGATTGTCGAAGGCATTCCAACTCACTTTTCGTGTCACAGATAGCCACATCCTGATCTTCCATATATAACCCTTCTGGTCGCCGCATGTATGCATGCAGACTGGTGGCGAGCGAGAAATGAACGCATACGAGACAGTGAAACAGTTTGGATGCGCAGAAGGTGCAAGTCCCCGCACTTGAGACGCGCTTTGTCATGTAGGGGCAGGTGCAACAACATGAATTAGCAATGCCAGCTGAACATGTTGCCGCCTTTTCATCCCTCGCAGCAGTGCCCGCGAGCGGAAGTCGGCACGACGCGCCCTCCTACCGTCGTTGTTGACGGTGAAGAACCGGTCGGTCCTCGATGGGCACGCGGCGAGATCCCACACCTCTGCGCGGTGCACGTACGCGCTGGGAGACCTCACCGACTCCGTCCCAGGGTCATACTCCACAAACCTGACCTGAAGCAACATGACACGCCGCTGATGACGATCACACTGATGGAATGTGGCTTCCGGGCGGTTAAGATCGGAAGGGCGCGCCTTGCCTCATTCTCTTCGCGGAGGCAGTTGGTGGCCACAAGCCACTGCGAGCGGTCCTTCTGGGCGACTTGGGGACACAGCACGCGCGACTGGAACTTCAGCCCCAGTGTGATGCCTGGCTCGGCCATGGAAAGGCGTCCGCCTGGACTGCATGCGGTGTGCCACTGCGCAGTGACGGCAAGGGACATATAGGACGCTGCAGAGCAGCATCGTTGTTTGGATTATACAGGTGGATGCAATCAAATTATTGGCGCTGTGCATGGGGCACAGGACTGCCCCGGCTGTGCACGGCATAGCATTCTTCTGCGGCATTGGATTAATCCTTTGGGCGATAGCGCCATACGACTCTTTCTCCGAGAGTGGGCGCGTTCAAATTGTGCTGAAGTAACCTGTCAACATTCAAATTGCTGGTCAGCCTGTCTGCTGCACCCTAGACCAACTCCCAATCAGTGCCAGTGAATGCTGATATTCCGCAATACATCTGTTAAGATGCGTTCTTCAGCTTGCAATTTTGATGCACTAGTGCAAGACAATGTCAGCTAGCAGTGCTGAAAGCATATCAGGCTCCTTGACTTTGTTGGATATGGATTTTATCACACTTGTGATAAGCAAAGAAAAGAATATTTATATAAAGCAATATGCTGATCAGACGAGGACTCTCCCACCAACTGGGGAAGTGTAATGCGCACCGCCTTTACAGTATATCACTTCACCAGTACTTTACCAGGAGAGTGCCTGGATTGGCAACGGCATCTCTCAACTATCCCATCCTTGGGAATATCAGGCAGGCCACAGTACTGGAGTACTTGGCACTGTAACAGGACTATCCAGCAGTGGATGAGTCATCAGGGATCAGAGTGACCCGCCGGTCGCCAGCCGGTGTACTGCGAGAGATGGGTGCAGTACTTAATGGGTCTTGGAGTCTGGTCCGGGGTTTCTTTTCCCCTCTTGGCGCCACTGCGCGC